TCCCCCCCCCCCCCCCCCCCCCCCCCCCCCCGCTGCAAGTGCCGGACGATGTCGCGCGGTGGCGCGATTGCGGAGGCCGATGTCGAGAGACACGCAGATCGCGAGAAGCGGGGCGAGTGGGGGCACCTCTGGGAGGAACGTGTGTCGCGCGTCCATCCCTCCATCTGCCCGTCCGTCCGTCACGCCAGACGCCATTTGGCCGCATCGACAGACCGAGACACTCGCTGCTGGACTTTGGGCGCTGGGCTGGCCACCATGCCCCGCACGACAGACGGGGGGTGCACGCACGCCACGGCCCAGGCCCCAGACGCGCCCCGCGACATTGCTGTCGCGCATTCCTCGCACAGGGACGTGCGGGCGGTGCAAATCGATCTGCACGGGCACCGATGGGGGTCGCCCGGGATCCGCGCCGGACCAGTCTGGCTCCGTCGCGCATTTGGAACGGCTGCTAGATGTGCCCACCCGAGCCTCCTTCTCGCCCCAGAAGATACGGCCTGTCCGCGAAGCACCCGCATCCCACCTATCCAGATCCTGCTTGGTGTGCGGCCAAGTGTGCAGTGGGACCGCTGGCGCTGATCGTCTCGCTGCGCTCTCCTCGTGCTGGGTGAAGAAAGAGTGGCTGCTGGGTCCACCGCTAGCACGGCAGGTGCGTCCGCTTCTCTTCTGGCGGCTCGTGCTGCCGCGGAGCGAGCAGTGGCCAACCTGCCGTGTCGCTCGTTCCGTATCGATGAGATCTCACGCTAGGTGGCACTTTGTTCCCGCCACTGCCCCATTCAGGAGACGAAACAAGGCTCTCTCACACGTAACGCCACGATCACAGGCTGGTGTGGCGGCAGATCAAGGCTGGCCCGAGCCGTCCTAACCCGGAGCGGTTATAGCTACCGTTCGTGCTATGTTGGCTATCTGTGCTGGGCAACTAGCACCATCCCAGTCATCATTGGTGGTGTTCGCGGGAGGTGTACTCGCGTGTCCATATCGCTGTTTTGATTGTCCCATTATGTATCTTGTCCTCAGATGATGGGTACAATAATGATCTTGATCTCGGATTTCATTCAACGACACGTCCGAAATGGGATGTATGTATTGTTACGGCATGCCAACGAGAGTCATTGTGTTCGTGTTTGGATATCCCCTAGAGACGTGGTCGATGACAGCGATACCGAGCGGTGCACGCCGAGTCACACAATACTGCAACAACACACCTTGGCAAACCATCCGTCTGCGTGTGTAATGCTCGCACCCACAGGCCTGCCATCGAATGCTGCCTACTTGCATTCCACAGCCCACGCGACAGCTAGCGTGTGCCGCTCGCGCACGGAAAAAGGACACTCGGTGCTTGTGCTATGGCCGTCCACTGCGGGCCTTCGCCTATTCACCCGGAGAGATCTAGCGCCCGAAGCGCCGAAGCAGCTGGCAGCTGTTGCAGTCTGAACCTTCCTACTCATCTGATCTCTGCCGTCCGACCTATCGCAGATGTATCACGCCGGGTAGCTGTGGGCCTGTGGCCCCTGGACTCATCTCCCACCTCGTCGGGCGGCCCAAGCTCCAGCGCCCGAGCGCGACCACTCGACCAGAGGCCGCCTTCCGCAGAACGACAGCCCATGCGTGCACCGATTGCGCCTGCCCACCGCGACGACTCTTCGTGCTGCACCGAATGAATGTCAGAAACCACGCATGTCGTTTCGCTGAGGCTGTGTGCGCCGTGGCACGTCGTCGAAGATACAGTGGCCTGGATCGCACGGGTCTTCCGATCTTGTGACCCTGGAAGCGGGGGCATTAGCGAGCGAATGTGCAGAGAAGAGTCGCAGAGGAGACTCCGCTCCGCGTGCCTTGGCCACCTCTTGCTCCCCTCCGCTGATGACCGCCGACGGGGGGCCCGCACGGGCGTTGCGGGGAATCTGCGCAACCTTAACCAACGGCCGTCGCGAGGCGCGCGCGGAGAAACGGGGCCCTGGGTGGTGGGGGTCTCAGCAGCCGCGTTCGCACTCAGCAGACGGCAAAAACGAAACGAGACGAAACGCAGCGAACGCGAAAACTCACCGCCACACGGCGAGCCACCACGCCACGCCGTGCATATGGGTGACCTGCCCTCGACCCTTGCCGCAGATCGATATTCAGTGTCGCACAGTCTCGTTGGTGCGTAGCACGACTGGGCACACATTTCAGGGAGCTATGCCCGCGAGCGAGCAGCCCATCACAGCGAATACTCAGGTCACTCGCATCGTGCTGGGGAGGCGATGCGGCAAGTGCCATGCTGCGCGGCAATCCCAAAGCCTGCTTCAACTGTTGGCCCGCCGGCCAGCCACCAGGAGTGCGAGCAATGACCAATGACTGGGCTTCCGACGCCTATCAATCCAGCACGAACCGGCGGAATTGATAAAGGCGTGCAGCCAAGCTGCCGAGCAACAGAACGCGAGACGTCTCCGCGCCCTTCATGCGGGCAATGCGTGGTCAGAGCCGTTGATGTGCGTGTGCAAGCGTCCTTCCCGCGGACGATCTCGAGCCCTCGACATTGGTTCCTGCTCGAGGATTCGCACCGGAGAAGACCGTCGGTGCGAATACGCGTGCATTTTGGTTGGCTGTTCGCAGTGCACCGTGCAGGATGGGCATGTTCCGGTTACATTGGTGGGCGAAAGCGACAACGCGGAGCCAGCCAGCGCGGTTCCGTTCGCTATCTATCAACGGACAGACTGCCGCCTTTGTCGACGGACAGCCAGATGCGATCACCCGCGTTCACGTCTTTGAACTGTGTACCGTCATGTTAGCACGCGGATAGCAGCCAGCGGCAAGGAGATGAAACGAGCATGAGGCGGAGCGAACGGTGAACATACCGTCAACTCTCTCGTACGGTGCAAGCTCTCAATCTCGTCTACTCTCGCGCGCACATTGTCGAGCAGCTCGCCAAATCCCTCCTCCTCGACGACGGCTTTAGCAGCGTGTAACAACAGCACCGAGTCTGGCATAACGTCATGACTAGTCTGCAGCGGACAAAGGCAGACGGTGAATGCTTTAGCCATCGTCTAGACCGTCGGACGGAGCACTCACATCGATGGCGATAATGTTAGCGCGATCTAGGTCTTGGTGCGCGAAGTCAAATTTGGATTCCCGCGGCCGACACGCAAAAATCACGTACCTTCGAGAAAGTCTGTCCGCGTCATGATTTGACGACATTTATACTATCCGCGCCGGTCAGCAGACACCACAACCACAAGCCACGGGTGAGTATACGTACATACGGAATCTTGGGAAGCGGGAGTTCTTGGGTGGCTTCCCCTGGGTCCAGCATGCCAGAGGCGATGGCTTCGTCCCTCGCGCGCTCATCCTCCTCCCGTTGTCTCACAAATTCACGCAGGAGCAACCACGAACACGAGCTCCACTTTTGCTCATCCATCACGTCGTCGTCGCAATCGGGAATGAGCCCAATCTGGCTTTGCAACCATGCCTTTTCAACGGCGAGCATGTCGTGCGCGCAACTGCGCATATCCTGCGCGCGAGAGACACGCGAGAGGTAGGAGAGACGACCGCCGACAACAGACACGGCCTCCCGCACCATGGCTGGGTCGGCAGCTTCGTCTCGAGCGCTCAGACGCATGTGAGCGGACGCGTGGATGGCGTCTTGCAGGCTTAGGTCACGCACAGACACGACCTGGGAGGCTATCCTGTCAATGGAATCTTGTACTTGGGACTTATCACAGACCTGCATCCTGCTCGCTACTTTTCCTAAAATCCGTGTCAGAACATATGCGAGCAGATGGTGAGCCATGTTACGCACGCATTACCAGGAATGGCCAGAAATCATCGCTGTAGATGGTGAACGTTAGGGAAGAAAAGCGTAACGTAAACATGCATACGTGCTAAAGACCATAGTGAGAATGCCTTTCAAATGTTATTGTAGTAGTTGGATCAGTCATTCTGTAAGGAATCTCGACAAATCTCGACATACCGCCTGCAGCCCATGATTCGGCCCGCTGCTGAAGCTGCAGTAGCATATTCCGCCCATCATCGTCGTTGTTGAAGAAATGGATGTTGTTTAATACGAGCACTAATGGACGGCCCGTGCGACACGCATAGCGGAGGGCAACCTTCTCCAACTTACTCAACGCTATCCGAAATAGGTTTTGGCCGAAACATCACGCCGAAAGCGGATGTGTTTACGCACCTCGTTCTATGTCGAGCGCCGCACCGCCTGCAGATTGAGATCGACGATGAGCTGACGTAGTTGCAGACATTTAACAGATCCACACACGAACCTTCGCGAGGATCACGCCTTTGGAACAAACCCGTTTGAGTGTCTTCGTTGAATTCGTAGTTCAAGGCCCGCCCGAGACGTAGCCGGAATACCTCCAAGTTGGGATGCGCGTCACAGACTGCAACACCTTCCGCTTGTATGCCTTGCATTGCATCCAGGATCATTGTACCCTTCCCTGTACCCTGATAATATATGTCAAGTCAATCACAGCGTGTACAATAACGCATACACTCACCTTACACCCGAGCAACATGAAATACTGACCAGCTTCCCTTCCACCGATGATGTTGTCGACTAGGTCTTGCTCCTGGCGCCGCATATGTTGCATATGAATGCTGTTCGCGGCACCTCTTTCATCCTTGTCAGAATTGTTTTGCGCCTTGGCACTGCTTGCGACTTCCAGGGCAGGGTCGTACCCCCTCGCAAAGGCCAATTCAATCTAAAACGAAAGACACGTGAACATTGCAGATCACCATGAATCCGATAGGCTACCTTGTCAAGGACATTCTTCTTATACCACGAGACGTAAGCTATCCCGCCGAAAAAGACTAAGGGTGATTCAGTCAGCCACAAGTCGCGACGTGGCGGTTGAAGTCTTTGCTTGACAAGACGAGGCTGACCACTACACCACTGCCGGGCGCAAGATGGTGCAAAGAAAGAAACACACCTGCAGCAAGGCCAATTAACGTTGTGATCACAGCATCCGCAGCAGAAGACCCCGTGGAGGGCACTCTTCCTCCCGCCGTCGATCCGGACGCATTATGATTAGCCGCAGAACCTTCTGTCTTAGCGACTACGCCCGACTGTTCCAAACGGTTGTCATTTTCGTTTCTGCTGCTTGCACTTTCAGCTAGTGCCCGCTGGGATGCGTGTCGGATGAGAGACAGTCGAGACGGATGTTGAACGTGCTTAGCGGATCGGACAATCCTCAGGAGAGACAGAGATACAGCCGACGCGGAGCGCGACATGCGAATAACGAGGGTGTGTTCTACCACAGCAAAGGTGAGAGCGAGAGAAGTACGAGAGTTGGAATGTTGATATAGCATTCATCATAGTTCAGCTCAAGCTGAAGCGTACTGCCTTTAATTGGACTGATCCGCGCGAATAGCTCCGAACTCTTGCAGTCTCCGACCATCATGTGGATATTACTTGCCGTATAACTTCAGATCTTAGAGTTGAAACTATGCATCACTAAGTGCATCCGTACGTCTCTGAGTCACATGTGGTCCTTTCGCAAATTCATCCACAGAAACTCTCGGGCTATCGTGATTGGCGTCTGTCCTGCTTATGCTTGGCAATGTAGCATTGCTTCAATGACACTGCTTGTTGGGAGGCGACACTCACGGATAACAAGTGTAATGCGAGTGTGCGATAAGTATGGCCGAAATGGGTGAAGAGTTTATCTGCTCTTGGTGTGGAATGTTGAGAGGAGGCGGGGAGGCGGATTAAGGAATGCAAAATGATTTCGTGTCGAAAGTTCATTGCACATGCGTACACATGAGGCAACCCTTTCCTTGTTCCTTGCAATTTCTGGCATTCTGACTGTTTACCTCTGACTGTGTCGGTTCGAAAGAGTTGACACCCGACAATTCCTGGTCCATCTGATCCGTCTCGTACCCTCAGGGCACACAATTCGTCATATAGCATCGCTATCGAGACCAGGTGTTAGTCACTTCAAATAATCGGTCTCCTTACCCAGCCTCTTCCCGTGATTTCAGGTTTTGCCGTAGCTCGAAAAATTGCAATGAAATCGAAGATCGCTATTTGTGCGCGTGGCATAGCCTTTGTGCCCTACTTGCGGCATTGTCGTGCCCTACGGTAAGTACCCTACCACGCGCCGGACCGAGTCAATCAACGAGGACATTTTGACGTGGAGAAGCTCCGCAGCTTGTGGAGCATTCGCGGCTTTGTTCGACTTCGCACGGCTCAAAGGGCATGGGAAGAACGAAGCAACTAGTGGCCTTGCAGAGGCACGGTGTCTGTCTGGGATGGTCCGAGAAACAGGGTGCAGGTGCGAGAGCCGCCCTTCGCATGGTCCATGGTCTCGCGTGGGCATTCTAGTTTTTGCCAGTGGCTGCGCATGGCTCGCATGGCTAACTCGGTGCGTGCTTCTTCTATACTAGCTTGGGGCTTGAAGATGCTTCCCTGCGATACGGAGATCCGAAGCCATCTGAGACGGCCGTAATCGGTACCGCCTTGCTATGAGAAGCTGTCGCGGAGAAATAGAAACGTCCTGTAATTCTCTTCACCAATGGTATAGCCCTGCGTGTCTGCATTTAGAGCAGGGTATGGGGTATTTCATGATATACGGCATTTGTGACATCGTCTTTGCGCTGCGCATGGTGCTCAAATGTGCGTATGTAGGCCTATGCTCACGAGTGGATTTCAGGCATGTACCGTTATTACATCTAATTTGTTATGATGATTATTGATCGATTATCTAGACAGACATTTCTCTGGCCTCGCGCGCAAGCTTTTGAATACGGTAGTCAAATGGTTCGTTTGTGTACGTTACGCTTTGACAATGTGAACCATCTCATGGCTATCCGACTTAACATATCTATGGTATGTGGATGACTATTGCGTTCCTCGCGAACTGTCGAAGGATGTTCACCGTCGGTGGCTATCCACACAATAGCTCGTTGATGACATCATGTTGATGGACTGAAGGTATGTGTATCACCAACTCAACTATTGGTGCCTATTGGCGGGCTTCTATGGTCTTGCACTAGTGTGCAGGAATGACGTAGGCGGAACACCGAAGCTTATGCCACCTTCTGGAGGACATATGGTTGCGGCTGGGATTCGAAGGGTTTGCGTGTCCAACGAGCGGTTCTCTGATCATGCTAGTGACAATGCTGTGTACTCTGTACATGGTATACATCTCGCTCACATCAGCAATGGAAAGTGTACCCCGCACCCTGCCCACATTTCCGAGTCACATCTCATCAATGTGCTATCTCCATGTAAATCAAAGAAATAAAAGAAAATTTGACTGAAATGGCTGTGTTCAATAGGGTGTTGCTTGATGGTCATAAGCTGTTGGAATGGATATCCAGAGGCGTTCTTAAACCACAGCGTACTGACGTCTTGAACGCCTGACTACGGCTGGTTGACTGCCGGCGCCCTTTACAAGAACCGATCTGGTTCGGTGCGATACCGCCTTCAACTTGAACGAGATCTTGATCCTCTTGACTCTGGATTCGACTTCAAGTCGTCAGATAAATGCTCATATCCATTACGCTCACACAATCTCTTGAATCTTCTCCATTCTCGCGGCGTCCTCCGCTTCATGCGAGTGCTCTTCCATTCTTTTTCATGCTCCTGCAGCTGGCACAATTCCCGAGACTCTCCCTCTCGTCTATGTCTACATTGCTTCGGAGATTCGGCCGACCGTCTTTCTCGATACACTATAAAAGCATCTATGTATCATACTCGGCACTTACCTCAACGGGCACGCGCAGGCCTCGAGGCACTGGGGTATGGCACCAGTACTCCGAGTCTTGTCTTCAGGCGCCGCTAGGGCCGTCTCCGACCCGGACCATCTTTGCCTTGGCCTCGCATGTCCCGTGTTCATATGTCCTTGTTGCGACTGACTTGAAGAACCTCAATTTCAAAGGCAGCCGCTTTTGGCCCATAACTTTCCTGGGACATCGTCATGCGGCCCTCGTCCTGAATCCGTGGCGCGACACAGCCATATCCTTTGTGTCTCAAGCTAGGTTATTCATGGCAGACGCGGAGCGGCCCCCGAGTATCCGAGGATCCGATGAATGCGACGCTGGTAATACAGCATGTTTGATTTTGAACTCGTCACATAAATTTCGTATCCGGGACCACGAGTGGTGAGCCTAATTTGAGATCTTGTGGGCAGCTCAGCGCAGGTGCTAGTCAGCTTATATGTGCAGATCGCACCTTCTGTTCAGAGCGCAAAGATTGGAGGTTTGCATCCTGCTCAGCTCGAAGAGGGCAAGCTCAGGGCAAGTCGTGTGACAGCACTGTGATATCACTGCTCCTTGTTCTGGAGGACAGTGACGCACCAAATCGATGGGCGTTTTGCTGGGCGAGTCGGATTCTATGCTACTGGCGTCTTGTGGCTTATCTAGATACATCTTTTCGTGGATTTGTTCAGCTCAGAACGACAAGACGGACACACGCAGGGTCCAGCTCTTCCTCTTCCTGTTCCACAGCCGTTATTGCGCGTCCCGCGCATTATCGCCGCTGCGAGCGCTAGTGCTCTGCATCGTGACTCAATGCACTGGGAAGGTGGGCTTTAGAGCTATCCAAGAGCTATCCACTTCCTTGCAAGGGGCGCCATAAATGCCGTAAACTGCTCACATGCAACACTGCGTTCCTCGGACATCCAGTTATAACATTGCCTCGTTGCTTCACGTCCAGTCAACGCTGTTGTCAATGCCGACAGGTTTCAGCATGTCGTTTTGTCAGATTGGGGAACATCGGCGCCATTAACGCATCGCAAATTGCGGGGTAGTGAGGAGATTTGTTCAACAATGAAATCCCTTCAGACATGATATACGGGCTGCTATTCACTTTCCGAGAGAATTGACATTAATCGTAGATTCCAGTGGGCATTATCTCACCTCTCGGACCCACATGTGCCATGGTATACAGATGCCAGGTACGCCTGTTTCTCATTTTCTGTCAACCTCCGCCCTTCGATCGTGTTCCATCCCCATATGACCGCTCTTCGGTTCATTTCATCGTCATCAAGTAGTCATAACTAGGGAGTACCGATTTAAATCATTGGTCGCTGGAGCATGTCTCATTTTACGTAATTGAAAACACGCGGTTGTTAGGATGACGGGAGTGAGGTATGGGGGCGGAGTACGCTTGTACATCTTGTGACATGTTGCCGGCTTGGACGTAAGCACAGATGTTGGGGCACTGTGATCTCGGCAGGCGTCCTGGACGGCAAAGAGTAACGAGGGAGAAACAACTCTGGAGCAGCAAGCATTCTTCCACATACTTAGATTCGTGCGTTGCCATTTCAGCAAACTTAGTTCGTAGCCCCTCGTCGCTGGTCCGATATAGCTGATTCTCGGAGGTCAGCGCACGCACAGCGTAACACCATCCGAATTCGCCCGTCCACGATATATTATTCAACCCGTGTATTCCGTGAGTGCTGCCTGTCATCTCTACCTGACCTACTAACCTGTGTGCAGCATGTTATGTCCATACACCAACCATGACACTTTCCCTGCCCTACCTCCGACGTATCTCCATACTCGATCAGTTGTCCGGCTCCAGTAAAGAACGTGAGGCATCATCGTGGAGCTAAAAACCACCGCGCGCATGGAATAGCCTTTTTTCGCCGGTCTTCCGACGTAAAGCCTCGTTTCCTTGTCATGGTAGGACTTCAGCCCCGCGGTCATAGTGTCATGCAGTATACCAGTTTGGGCAGCCGACGCCATCCCTGACACAGGGAAGCGTCAGTGTCTGTTGAACAGCTCGCAGCATTCCAGGACTGTGTACGAAGGACAGGATGAGGGTATATGGACGGATGCACGGTGGTATCAGAGGCTTGAGTCTGTATTTTCCCGTGCAGACCTCGTTTTTGAGCACGCTCGGTGCTATATATACTAAGATATACATAGTCTTCTCCTTAGACGGAATGACAATTCATACATGATACTGTGACGACTGACTGAGGGTTTGAGCAGCTTCCACGAAATGGTGAAACTTGCCGCTACTGCTGCTCAGACCACTTCACATGTTGCCAAGTCTACGTCAGGGCAGGGGGTCGAAAGATTCTGCGACGTTCTGTACGATATTTTTATATTTCATTGCGAATAATGTGTAGTACCACTGAGGGAGAAGTGAAGGGTTTATGCCGCGGCACAAGAAGGCTGCATAATGCGATGTATGACTCTATGTTCGTGCAGTGCATTGATATGTCATCGTTCAAGATGTGGTCTATCATAGCCTTTGGTGGAGTAGAAGCTCGTTCACT